GTGTGTTCGCTATACATATTTCCCTGCCTTTAGTTGTTAGTTAATCGTATTTATTTGAAGGTAAATCACGGTCAACAGTGTGAACTTGGTTTAATTTTTCCTCTAAAAGTTGGGTTAAGTTGAAGAAATGGCAATAAGACTCAAAATCTTGAGAATTAGGATCTCCTTCAGATGAAGCTACTTGTAGGTAACATTCGTACTGACTTCTATATAAGCATAATTTAGCTTCAACAAAAAATTGGTCAGACTCAGAATTTTTAGAGGTTGTATCTTCGTCTGAGGTAGGTTGGTTGTCTTCTGGGTTATTATTATTATTACCACCAAAATTAAAGAATCTAAACATAAGCTAGCAATATATCATTTCACGAATTACTGCACATAAAGAAAATATTATCGTACAACAGAATGGCAAAATTAATATATTATAGGTTGAATTTTATTCAGCTGGTTCTGAATAACAAAAGTTTACTTAGCTACAACTAAGCAAAAACAAAAGGGTTGAATTTATTCAAGCAGAGAATTAACAAAGAATTAGGTTGAAAAAATGTCTACTGCTATCAAATGTAACGAATCTACTAATTCGTTTTAGAAAATAAATATCAACAAATATTTATTAACGAAGTTTGTGGTTTATAATTAAATTATTTTACAAGACTTGCTTGTTCTTTATTAATCATATATTATATTTATATAAAAATACATAATTAATGTTACATAATATAAATATATAATAAATAGTATCTTAGGTCTTACAAGACCAATCTGGATGGTTACATATGATAATTAATAAATAAAATATAATAAAAGAAATAAAATAGAATAAGATAAATGATTAACACATGGGATTGCTAATCTATTGTATATCAAAGCTAATCACATATACTATCATTCATTATCAAAATATAAAGATAAAAATATAAATAATAAAATAGAAAATGAAGTAATAAAATAAAAGTAAAATAAAATAAATAAAACTGGTAGGAGTTGTCACTTGTCAACTACGTAAGCTACGATGTAGTCGAAACTGTTACAAATAAGAATATGAAATTAAATTAATAAAATATAGTTATAAATAAGCTAATATATGATAATTAAATAATAATATAATAAATGAATAAGATAAAAATATAATAATAAAATTTGATAACTAGGGTCAACACCATGTAATAAAATAAATTTAATAATGTTTTTGTTTGTTTGCTTATATTGAGTTTTATTTTTTAACTTGTGAAATAGTATATATAGTGAAAAATAAAAATTACATATAGTATTAAAAAAAAATAATAAATTATATACATGTGTTATTGTACTCTATTTATATAAGTCATAACTTTATTTAATAAATATGTCAGCATTATCTTGAATATAACATTCTACTAAGTATAACTGAAAGGTTACAGTATTTCTTTCTGGATGATATGCAAATATATTTTTCTCTAAGACTTTATTGGATTCTCTATAATTATTAAAAAATTCCTCAAATACAATATAACTAACTTCTTTGAAATTCAATAAAACACTGATGACACTTTTTCCTGTTTTATAATATTTATCATCTTTAAGAAATTCTGCTTCTTTAAATTTATCCTCAATTTTCATATACATTTTTCTTTTAATATTTGTAAAAATAGAATTAATAAAAAAAGTGATTGAAAACAGATCACATAATATAAAATATCAAAATTATTTCTATCTTTAAAGGTTTTTCCTTTTTGAAGTTTATCTACTGCAAATTTCAACTTTAAAATTCCCCCACTAATTAAATGATATAATTTTTCTATTTCTGTAGTATCAACTTTACACTTATTGATTAGGTCCAATGATTTTTTTTAGTGAGATTACCAATTTCGATTGGATTCTCTGCATGAGACCAAACACTATGTACTAGAAATAAAATATCAATGTACTTGTAAATTTTTGCAAATAAAAATTCTCAAGTACTTACATTATATTCTTTGGAGAACTGAATCTTTACTAGTAACAAACACAGCAACATAATTATTTTCAACAGCACCATTCTTGGTATAATCCTAAAAGATATTAAGGATTTCTGAATTTTTGTAAACTAATTGGCTAACATTATCATAAATAATAATCGGTGATTTGTCATGTTTTACTTTATATACTTCAGAAGTACTCATAAAGACATCCATAACTCTCTTCCACTTGAAATAGAACTGAATGACTTTATCTATAAATAAAAAAATAAGAATTAAAAATGATGGTCTCAGAAAATAAAACAGAAATAGAAATCTCACTTTTAGTTTCATCAAAAAATTTTTTTTTCAATTTCAATGTAATTGAGATATTTTCGTCAAAAGAAAAATTAAGAGCCTTTCCAAATTTGTTATCCAACTTGTTAAAATTTGAAAGAATATTAACATATATAATACCTTGCTCAATTTTATTTACTATTTTTCTAATTAATGTTGTTTTTCCTGTTTTGTGTTCTCCACAAATGGCATGATAATATGAATAATTTTTACTTGGTTGAAAAATTCTTTCAAGAAGTTCTATAACTTTAGGTCAAGAAACATACTCATCATCTGACACAGTCAACTTTGGTTGAGTACCTTTTTCCATAGTTTCGTTAATAAGTTGCTCATTAAAATGGGATATCCACCAAGTGTAAAGAAGATCTCCTGCAAAAAAGATTATACCTCCACTTTACAAAAATGCCATTGTGTCCCATATATACTTACACACAAAATTATTTTGAGGCTTCGAAATTGTAATTTTGGAGAAAAAGTCAAAATAGTTTTTCATAGAAGACAAAATTATTTTACTTAAAACCTGAAATTTTTTGTTCATCCAAATTTATTTTTTGATTGAATATACATATAACTGAATACTTTTTTTACTTCCATATATAGAATAGATTTTGCATAAATCTCAAAAAGTCTAAATGTCTCAAAAATCCAAAATCAATTTTGGGAACATGTATAGTTCCATGCTCGTTTTTTCCAATTAATAGAATGTAAATAGGTTTGTATTTGAGTCCATTTTTTATTCCAGGCAAACTTCCATTTTTCAAAATTATTAGGAGTGGAATTCGTATAAGGTTTATAAAATAACAGTTGAAACAGAACAGGTTCTGAGTTTCTCGACACAAGATTTTGTTATTGAAGGAATAGAACTTAACAGATATGATGAGGTGGAAAAATACTTCTATGAAAGTACAAAGACATCAGAATGATATCTTGATTGATGAAAATTATACCTTTTTTATCTAATTCAAAAAATATAGTAAATCAAAAAAGTATTTGAGTTTACAGGTTTATTTAATAAAACTCAATTCTCGAAGATACTCTGGAATAACTATATATGGGTCTTCGTAATACCAGACATATCTTAAGACTAATTCTTTCTTGAGTTGATCCCGTGCTTGCTGTTTGATAAAATTATTAGAATCACTTCTATGAAAGAATTTGATATATTTTTCATGCTGTTGTCCTTGTACTTTGATTGCAAAACCATATTCTGGGTAATAAATATCAAGTTCTAATTCTCTTGAATGCTTTGATGTTTTAAGAAAATCAGGTTGGCATATCTTAAATGGCGATTCAAGATATTTTGATATAAATTTCACGATATAAATTTTCACGCATATATTTATTACTGCAATAGGGACATCAACACTTAGATTTTACGTTACTATATGATGCATTCCACTTGTGTCCTTTAGCACATTGTCACAATAAAAGCGAATTGCTATTAACATATTTTTCTGAAACACATAAACTACCATTTTTTATTGCAATTTGTTTAGCATTTGCAAGAGTAAGTTTTGCATTGCCCGCACAGTATGGACACCAATGGCTCTCTCTAATATGTTCAAATTTTGCTTTCCATTCATGCCCTTTAATACAACACCACAATAATAGTAATTTAATGTTGATATACTTGTTTGAAAGGCATTGTCCATGCCTAGATAATGCTATTCGTTTAGCATATTCAAGCCAAGTATAAGCACATTGAGGACACTATGAACCTTGATCTTTTATAACATTTAAGGAGGTGAACCATATATGGTCTTTAGCACATTTCCATTGCAAAGGAGTTCTAATATTAATGTATTTTTCTGAAACACATAAACCACCATTTTTTATTGCGATTTGTTTAGCACTTGCAAATGTAAGTTTTGCATTGCCTACACAATGAGGGCACCAATGACCATCTCTAATATGATCAAATCTTGCTTTCCATTCATGATCTTTAACGCATTTCCACAATGATGACATTTTACTATTAATATATTTGTCTGAGGGACATAGGCCGTTCTGCCTTATTGCAATTTTATAAGCATCATTTATAGAGTATTTGGGTCTCATTTTTTACAAAGAAATCAAATATATTCAAATTGATGAGCAAAATGTTATTTCTTTTTTGAATTATTGCTCACGAGATTATGATGTGCCACATGATAGAGAATGGATTACGACCAAAAATTCCATTTAATACTCCAAAATTAATTACTAGAATAATTATGAGATGTTGGGATGCTCGAATTACTCATCAACCTACTTTTAAGAATTGAATAAAGAGTTGTGGAAATACTGTCGTGATTATAGGGAAAATAATTATAAAAATAATAATGAAATTACAATTCAAATAATTCAAATCAATAATACTGAAAACATTTCTAAACATCTAACAAATGCAACAACTATAAACACTTATAATTGCCAAACACATCCACAAGCATTTTACACCAGTCGACTTCTTAATTATTCAGGTCTTCCAAAACTTAAAAATGACTCAACTAAATGCAGATACTTGTTAGAAAGTAATAGAATGGATACCTTATGATAGATTTAAAGAGATTAAAGAGATAGCTAAAGGTGGTTTTGGTACTATATATTATGATAAGTTGATTAATGGAAGTATTGAGAAAATCAACAATGGAAAAGACGGGATGAACTTGATTTGGCATTAAAGAAATTTGATAATTTTGCAAATTTACGTAATGATTTCTTAAATGAAGTAAAATATTTTTTTTAAATTTCATTTGTAAATATTTATTTATTAATAATAATTTATAAAAATGCATTACTAGATAGCAATTCACTTGAAAGTACGTAGGTATTATACAATTCACTTTTATGAAATAACAAAAGTTCCCCGAAGCCAACAAATATATAATTATTTTAAAATATGCTTCTTATGAAAATCTTAGAGATTATTTAAAAAATAATTTTTAACGATACTAGTTGGAATTATAAATTATCTTATTTTCATCCCGGAAAAATATTTTTGATTTTTGAAGATTATAATTGTAGTTATAATATTATGATCTTGAAATATATTGTTAATTGTAATAGTCTAGTCAAGATCACATTTCAATCCATAATCATAAACATCATCAGATTTTAGGAATCTATCTTTTAATTAGAATATTCGCTTTTGACATCAATTGATTTCTGTTAGTACAATTCATTATCATTATTATCATTCAAGTTAATAGTTTTTATTCAAAGATCTCATTAAATCTTAAATTCTTAGTAAAGTTTCTTAAATAGATTTCTAAATAGAACAATAAATATGAGTTTATTAATATAATCTAACAGCAAAATTAATATAAGGAACTAATGCAATAAGAAAACAAGCAAAATTACAAACTTGTAAAATCCCGCCACCACCACTCATACAGATCGTGAGATCTTTCATGTATAGCATCTAAATACCTTTATAATAGGAACTTAAAATCTTAAATCCAACGATTCAATTTCTTAAGAATTACATGACTAAATTAAGCCAATTAGAATTCAAGAAAGTATATTCACGTGTTTAAATAGAATTATGAATTTCATTTCTTTGTTTTATTTAATAGATACAAAAATATCAGGAATCAGAAATCTTTTTTCCAATCAAATTTACAATGGTTGCTATTTTTTAGTATAATCTCAAATTAGATAGGTATAATAAATACATGTAACTTCAACTTCAACCTCAGTAAAACTAAATCAAAATTTTAACTGATGATTGTCGATTTCTACAGTTAGTAATAGTAAATGAAATTTTTAATGTAAAAAAATCCTATTATAGAAGTTCCGCACTGTATAATAATTAAAAAGTTATTATGGTTTTCACTTTTTCTTTAAAAAACATTTAAATTATTACCTTCATGTAACATAGTTAACATGGGCACATTTTGAACCACAAAAGGCGCAAAATGAAGGATTTCTTCATTAATATTTTCAGAACTACTTTCATTGTTAGAACTACTTTTATCGTTGGTAGTGGTAGAGACATTTTAAACCTTTAGTTTGGGCTTGTTGTTAACAGTAGGTTTAATACGAACTTTTGCTCGCCCTTACCAATTTTATAAATGAGAAGGACGAGTAACGGGTAACAATATAGACCGTGAAGTAAATAAGTAAGGATAGTAGAAAATGTATTGGCTTTCGTATTCTGGGTCTATTAACAATTGTACACGTCATTAATAATATTGATATAGTTTAATATATTCTTTTTTTTATATTATTTATTATTTATACTCAGAGGAGACCTCATTGGTCGTTAAAAAAAAATAAAAAAAAATTCATCGTAAATTATAAAATATATTAACAAACATAATCGAAGTAAAATTCTGAATAAATATAATATTATAATTTTTTATATTATATTATAACTGTCGAAAAATAACTTTGGTAAAATGTCGATAACACAATTAAATTACGTATATATTTTCTTCTATAGTTAAAGAAACAATTAAAAATGTAAAATCTATTTTTAAGCATTCAAAATAAATTAAATATATTATATAGCGATAAATATATTTCGAAGCATTTTATTTCATATTTATTTTGTATTCAGATACATTTTATTGTATTTTAAACGTCCATCCCAATAGTGATATGGTGAGGTTCATTGCTAAAGATTACATTTAAATAATCTGCTTCAGACAAGATTGTCTTTATTAACATTTAATTTTAACATTTTTTTTTTTATAAAAGTTTAATATCCACGTGGTTCTCAATATTATAATGGATAATAATTGTTAGAAACGTGTGACTAAACATCCCAACATGGAAACAATCAAGTCTAAAATAATTGATGTTCAATGTAAACTAGAAATAAAACTTGATTTTTAATAAATAAGGTTACAAATCTTGATATTCAATAAAAAAGAACCTAGATTTCAATTTTTCATTCATTTTCACACCCACCCTCATTATATAAATTAATAAATAATAAATGAGTATCGATTATCGTCAAGAAGCAAAGGATGCTATCGATAAGCGTGATTATGTATCCGCTTGGAATTTTTACACTCAAGCTTTAATCGAATCTCCAAAAGATCTCGCATTATGGTGTAATCGTGCTTTGGTCGGTCTAAATGCTGGATTTCCCGAACTAACTTTGATGGATTCAAAGAGAGTTGTCTTTCTTAGTTTAGAGAAAGGAAAGAGCATGGCTAATGATATTAATTTACAAAATCTCGTTTATAAAGCAAGATATCGTTTAGGTTTGGCTGCCGAAAAATTAGGACTTCCTTTTTTGGCTGCAAGAGAATTCGAATTATTAGATACTTTTAATTCTAAAAAAAATTTCGGAAATATATTTGAAGAATCTTGTCATCAAAAAAAGATTGACATGACTGAAACTTATTTGAGACAACAAATTATATTAAAACGTGAATATGAAAAAAGAAATACTAAAATTCAAATTTCAGGAATTGGAAAAGGGTGGTATAAATTTACTGGAAGTTATCCTTGGGATAATCGTCAAAGTGAACGTATATCCGCAAGTATGCTTCAAAAAATTCAAGGAAAATTGGATATTGCCAGCGATAATAAATTAAAAGCAGTAATTATTAGATCTGAAACTGATAATCCAAAATTACAACTTGGCATTAAAACTAAACAAGATGTCTCTCATTTAACAATTTTATTTGAAGAAGACCCATTTATATCAATTCATAATCGATATAATTTGAGATGTGATTATTGTATTAATAAATTATCTCCAACCGCGAGAGAACCTGGAATTCCTCTTAAATATCCGTGTAAAAATCAAAATTGTAAAGAAGTATTCTGTAATGTTCGATGTTATAAGAAAGCAATGGAATTATATCATCGACCATTATGTGGTAAAGATATTAACAAGATCATTGAATTAAGTAAAAGGGAAATTGGTGGATTAAATCATCATGCTTTATTTTTATTGAAACTTTTTGCCATAGCCAAAGAAAGAAATATTAATCCTTTAGATATAGAAGAAATTAAACATTTTACAAGACTCAAAACGAATCCACTATTTCTTGAAGGTCATCTCGTTTGGGATCCAGAATATGAAAGTATTTATAATAATATTTTAAGTATTTTAGATATAACGATGTATGATTTACAATATGATTTTTGGATTTTTATTACTTTGATGAATATGATTGGAGCGAATGTATTTGGAAGAACTTTTACAGATCAAGCAGCTGAAGAAAAACTTTCATCCATATATCCCCTTTGTGCATTGATGAATCATAGTTGTTGTGATTTTGTTGTTCCACAATACATCTTACCTGAACCATCAAATACTGTACACAATTTAATTCAAGATTATGAAAGACGTAGAAAGAGATATCATAGAAAAGGTTATCAATCATATCGAATTACATTAGTTACTCATCGAAATTTGAAGAAAGGTGAAGAAATTTTTTATCCATATACACAATATAGTAATAGTAAACCAAGAAGGCACGAATCTTTATTAAGAAATTTCGGATTCATGTGTCATTGTAATCAATGTAAAAAAGAATCTGGAAGATATAGAGGTAAACCAATTGCGTGGTTTTTATATTTTCCGGGTGATGAGAGGGGTAAAAATTTGGTGGAAATTGAAAATTAAATTAAATTAATTGAAAATTATTAAAAAATATATGAAAGAAATTAAAAAAAATATATAATATATATTGAACAAAATTTATTTCTTTATTGTTAACCGAAATATTTTCACATAAATATATAATATATTTTCTCATTCATATTTCATAATATTTTTCTCATAAATATAAATAAATGATAAATAATAAAGATCAAATATTTAAAGCAAATGTTATACTATGTTCAATCTAAAAACATTTCAATTCTCGCAATTTTTGATAATTGTAAATAGTTGACTTGACTATAAGATCTTTTAGATCGTCAAGATTATCAACCCTAAATTTCTAAAAAAAAAATTTTTTAACATGATTACGAATGTATTATTTAAAAACGTGACATGATTAATATAATTATTTATATTAAAATATTAAAATAAAAACTTTATTAATATTAAATGAATAAAAAAATATACAATAATAAAAATTTCACAAACACACATATATATATATATATATATATATATATAAATCCGTATGCAAATATAATCTAAGTTATCGTTACCTACATTTTTTAATTTAATTATGTCTTGTCAAATTTGGAAGATTTAACTTTATGTTTAGGTTTAGGAGGTTTATTAGGTGCTGTTGATGTTGTGGGTTTGGTTTTAATATTTTGTAGATGTTGCTTCAATCGACGTGTCTATTTTAAATCAAAAAAATACAGATTTAGATTTAGATCAAATAAAAATATTTTAAATAAATATTTAAAAGATTATTACAATAATGATAATTACCTCAAATTCATTTTTGATAAATGTATAAGCAGCGAAGGTATGTGAAGCTAATAATGAATTCGGGAACTTGGATTCGATTATCTTTTTGGAAACATTTTCTGGCCAACATTCAAGTGATTCCTCATCAACAAGATAAGCAGAAAGAGGTGCTATATCGACAATACTTTCTCCACCAGTTAAATGTCTCAAGATAAATCTTTTTAATGCTGTAGCAAATGCTTCAGCTGGAATTTTCCAATTAATATCATTTCTCTTCTTTAATTCATCATCTTTGAAATATATAAAATCTTTGATTTCTTGTTCAATTATATTATTAATCTTGGCTTGGTATTTAGGATGAATACAATTTACAACTACATCCGCAACGTGTTCTTCAACTAATTCATATAATGCTACTGTATGCTTGATTTGTAAACCTGACCTTGTTAATAATTTATAACTTGTATTAACTTTAAGAACTGTTAATTTCATCCATTTTTCTATATAATCAGTAATTAACATTTCCCCATCTCCTCCTGATGTTCGTTTCAAGAAACAAATGATCATTTCTAATGCTGAAAGTAATTCTTTAGGATTTTCCATTCCGGATGGTTCATAATTATCATGAAGACCTGAACTGCTACCTTGAGTATTTTTGGAATTTCCAAGGAATATCATTTTTCGATCTTCTGGAATATGTTCTTGTGGCACCAATTCTTTAATTTCGTTCAAAATGGTCATTGAACCTTGGAATATTTCTTTATGATATGTAAACTGTTCCAAATATAAATTTTTCTCCAAGGGTTCAATAAATACTTTTTCATATACCAATAAATGAGCAAGTTCCGCTTCAATCTTGAATAAATCATATGAAATTTCTTGTCCATGACCTATTCTCAAGTCAAATTGACTATATAGGAAAATATCATCTATATTTTCATATGCAATAATATGTTCATTTTTAATATTTTCTAATCTAATTGATTGTAAGTTATATTCTCTATTTCTTTTGGAACCTGATTCTAAAAATTTAATAGATTGACAATGACCGGGAGGAATTTCAATGACATCTTTTAAGAAGTTATTTTGTAATTCAGCCAAAAAGTAAAGGACTGCACATAAAAATATTGATTCATCTTGTGGTTCGACTAATCCAAACACTACTGGAAGATTATCTGACATTTTTGGTAATTCTTTAGGTAATTCATGACATTCGTATCTTTTAACATATGGAATCAAGCTATTCCATGCTTCAGAAAATCTCGCGAAAGCTCTATCCCATGAACGTTGTGTTTCACCCGAATAATCGGCTTTAGATTCGTTAATAATAAATTGTCTAAATGTTAATTCCCGTGCGGTTTGTCTTTCCAAACGATATGAGAGACTTGAAGACAAAAGTTGTATGAATTTCGCTATCGGTAGAATAAACTGAATCAATTCCAAAAATTTTTCATGTTTCAAGAAAACTTCCAAAAATGGAAATGCCCTAACATGTTCATGATTATTCAAGTAATATGCGCGGAAATTATCCATACTAGGCATTCCAATAACACGCCACATGCAAGGTAAATGCATCTTACAATATGTATCATCAATATTTATTGTCTCATTAATTTCTGATTCAATCTTTATTTGAGCATTTGATTTTGTTTCCAATAATCTACGAAATTCTGTAGCAGATCCCATAACATTTTTGACTAAAGGAGATACATATTGTATGCTGAATTGTTTCTCCCATTCTTCACGTTCAGCAGGAATTTTTAATTTTGTTGCAACTCCTTGAAGTGGATTTTTTGCCATTTGAGAAAGTATTGAATGAATCATTAATGTTAATTGTTCATCAGTACATGCAAGAATATTTTTCAATGCTTCCCAGTCGTTATTGATATTTTGGAGACAATATTGAGTTATATCCATAATTGGATTTGTATTTCCTGTATTATTAACAAATTTGGTAGTAATTGGTGATGGATGTAATATACCAATAATTGCATGAACAAATATACGGAGAATTCGATAAGCTGTTGGTGACATAGAACGAATACTATAATGATTTTCGTTTTTTTGAGTCTCAACTAAATATCCTGGTTGATTGTTAGCATTAATTCCTTGAGTTACAGGTTGATCATCTAAACGAACATTTCCCTCAGCTGGTCTATTATATTGCTGACCACCAATCATATTTTTACAATTTGGACATTCTCTCCCTTCCGTAACGTTACCACAATTTCCGACTATATAAATATATCCACATTGACATTTGTATCTAAAAATAAAAAATTATTTATCAATCAACATCTAAAATATTGAGATTTATTAAGGTCAATATTTTAAAAGTAATGAGATTTTATGATTACCTTGTACTACGTTTATCTGCAATACCTTCTGCTGTTAATGCATTTAGAACAATTGATACTTCATCAGAAGGACAAGTAAGAATAAAATTGTTTTGACAATCTTCTAAATTTTGTAAATAATCTGCTAATGGGGATGACTTTGATGGTATGGATGAATGTAATGCCGCTACGTGAGCGATTATTGAAGAAATAAGTAATCTAGTATTACTATCATCTGCAGAAAGTTTGCAAAGCGGATGATCATTATTTATAAATTTAAACATAATCTCTTTGTAAAACTTTGGAAGATGTGCCTTTTCTAAGGAAGCATAAATTTTTTGAGCTAATATTGTTTCAACTTGATTTAATTCCCGTGATGCTCTTATATGATACATTCTCGTTATTATCATTCCAGAAAATGAAACTCGAAGATCGACCAAATCTTTTTCATTTGCTTTTGCATTGGTAATAGATTTTAAAAGTTCATTCGAAAATGTTTCATCACCACGACATATTCTATCTGCTGCATGTTCTGCACGATTATAATGTTCCAAATACCAATATGGATTAAAATCAATTCGGCCACCTTCTTTTTCCGTCCATTCTAATCCATTAAGCCAAGGCATGGAGTTTTTATTTGTTTGACAAAAACGTTTGATATCATCAAGTGAAAACCCTTGTGAAAGCTTTAATGCCTTAAGTAAATAAATCAAGAATGAATGAATCAAAGGATTAGGCAATTCCATTCTTTGATTAATATTTCGAAGATTTATGTCCAATTCTTCATCCTCATCAATCTCAACTGGGTTGATTAAGAAGTTTTCTTGTCCTCTAGTTGACCAAAAAGCATTTCCAAAAGATTTTAAGAGAGAAATTGATGATATCAGTTGTAGAGCTTTAACTTCATCCGTAAATAAGATTTGCGTCGCATCCATAAAGTATAGAGATAATTTTTGTAAATCGTAATTTATAAGGAATTGTGTTTGGATGACATCAACGCATAACGCGGAAATAGGAGAATCCGGTTGTTTTTCCAAAATATCATTAATTACTTTTAGGTTCCGGGAGAATTCCAAAATTTCAAAGGGATTTTGTATTAATTCAAAGAAAACATTTTCATTTTCTTCACATTCATCACTAAGTATACGATGAATAATAGGGAAGGATAATGGTAATGGATCAGAAGAAAATATTTTTGCATAAAGAAATAGGCGAACATCTGAATCGGATGGTAATGTATTGAGACATCTGTGTATAAATGATCTTTGTGAAGCTAGATTAATTTCAGATTTTTCATAATTATTTAATTTCGCAAATACGTTATCTATAAAATCTTCGGAAAGAAGATCTGGACTTTCAGATTCGATTTCTATTTTTCGAATCTCTAATAAATCTTGTAATTCGAGAGATTTTGACAAATCGTTATAAATGCGCAATCGTTGTATTGAAGTATTCGAGGAAGAATCTTTTGATAATTTACTAGATAACGATAGAATATTGGTGGCATCAAGTTGCCATTCATGAACATGACTCGCTACTCGTTCTTCTGATTGTCTAAGATTTATAGAGCCAACTCTCTCCATCATCGTATCAGCAACTGTCTTTAATATATGAGCTTCGAACTTAAATCCAACAATTTCTTCATTTTCTAAAGACAAGATGGTTTTTACAATTTCGGGACACATAATTGCTAATTGTAATTCTGCAAGTATAGCTTCAGAATTTTTCCACCAGAACACATGAAGTCTTATGGGATTAGGGATTTTTTGATTTAAATGGTATAAAATTATCCATTTCAATAATCCAAATTCTCTTTCATTTCTTTCAAATCCGGGTAATACAGATACAATGAAATCTCTGAAATAAAATTCTGAAGATTCGAAGAATCGAGGTAATTTTAATGAAGGTACGGCATTACAAATATTTGTTGTAAATCTTTCGATGCAATCCTCTACAATGTCTTGACTTAATTCTCCAGTCTCTTCATCATAATTATCTTCATTTTCTATAAGGATCGCTAAGTCTTCTTGATATAATTTTTTAAATTTATCAATTTGCTTCATGAAATATGGAGAGAATGGAAGTTGGAGATTATGGTTTTTAGCAGGCATTGGATATATATCCGGTTTCGGGTCAAGTAAATAATCCATATTAACAATCTTTGTATCCATGAATAATTGTTTCCAAAGTTCAAATAAATTATTTGAAGTATCATCATCATACAAATCGCCAAAATTATTTATGTCGTCATTAAAGAATAATGGAGACAATCCTGATAAAGATTCCAAGACACAGAGTAATTTTGCAATGGGCTTTCGAATTTGAGTCCGAATATACGTTTGTATAGATGTAGAAAATGATGAATATAAATACAAATTAGTTTTGTTTGAGGCGACTTGCAAAAGCCAATCTTTAGAAATATTTTGTTGAATCCATTCTAACGATCTGGTTTTTAAGCATTCTAGAAATTCATTATGCCGAGGAATTTCCTGTGAAAGCATCCTAAATCATAATAAAAGAAAGTGATTATAAAACTGTTAAACTGTGGATAAAAAAGAAAAAAAGTCCAATTTATAAATAAAGAATCAATTCCTTACTTTATATAATTAACAGATTCGGAAGTAGAAGGAAATCGCATACAAAGTAAACACCAAAATATTTCTTCAATCATAATTTCTTTAAAGGGATATATAGTATCAAGTATACTTTCAAAACTATTATCCAAATATGAGGTCAATGGTCGTTCTTGAGGAACTAAATTTTCCACGGTCACGATATTCCATCCACACATGAAGTTGAAAGAACCAGATGTTTCTTTATTTTCTCGTCTCACATGAAGGATTATACAAGCATGTTTAATAGGTTTCGAAACTTCAGAAAATTCATTTGAAATCATGTATTCTTTTCGTAATTGCTCGATAATGAATTTCGCAAGTTTAACGCATCCAGGTTTAACATTCTCTAGATCACACTGTAAAATGAACAAATTTTTTTCTGATTCAAAAAATTGCTTAATTCGAGCTGTAAGTTGAGCTTCAGATTTAAAAGTTGATATCTTATCAACTTGACATGTTAATATTCCATCCAGACATGACTCCACATCTATATTAATATTGGAAAAAGTGTTGACAATAACTTTGAATCCTTCATCTTCTATATCTTTATCCAATAAAGATTGAACATATGCTGCCAAATTATCATGAAATTGTTCATGGAAATATATATTCTTCCACTTATTCACTTCTTCGAGATCAACAGATAACCTAGAATTGCTTGATCTAATAATTCCGTCTGATGATGCAATGTTTATTAGCATTTCTTTGCATTTAAGAAGAATCTTTTCTTCATCATCTGTTTCAGAGTTTGAAAAGTTATGAATTACTAAGCTTTGTAATGTTTCTTCAAGATCAAATCCTATGAACATATCATGTTCTTTGAATTCAGATTTGGAAGTTTTGCCTTTTTCAACAAAACAAGATATTTCTTTGCACCAATCTGCCAATGTATTAACAAGTTTTCTCATTCTATCATCCAAAGTATCATTGGTTGACATTTTTTGTTTCTCAAATCGATTAAGAAGTGGAGGATCAGCAAAATTAACATTCTTTTCATCAAGCACCAAGATACATCTAAAATTATCATGTACTAAAACCATAGGATTTGAATAAGCACCTAAAGCGACACGGGTATAAAATTTTTGATTGTCACCTCTCCCAACTGTAATATAATTTTGATTCCATAAATCATAAAGACTCCCTAAATGAAAACAATTATAGATTCAATTTAATAAAGGTATTTTAGTGAAATTATATATCAATAATCATAAAGATCTTCAAAGAAATTACCATATATAATATCTAGTTCTGTTAATATCAAAGGTCTACCAGCTTCTACACACATCTAAGATATCGTTAAAGAAAAAGAGGTAATGAGATGATATGAATATAAAACTTTAGATAGCAATTACTTATTAATAAAATTTACCATTATTCTGCTCAAAACACCATATTGATAATCCCCATCAACTCCTTCAACATCATTAGGAAATTGACTACCGTAAATAACCACAGGTTCCATATCCCAACTTGATGAACCAATGGAATCATTTTGCTTTTCGGCGAATTCTTGGCTCCATTGTCGAAGCTTATATGTTAATAAATTAACAATAGAATCGCTTTTTCCTATAACCATTAAATGTCTTGATCCCTTATCTTCAAGATTCGCTTTGATAAGGTCTTCGACTAGGAATTTTTTGTATTGCATTTGACGACCATGGAAAGCCGTAATCACACCTTTAAAATGATTTTCCCATAATTGATCCATTTGGTTTGTTCCTCCAAAATTTCTAGCCAGAGCCATTTGTGTAGCAATTAGAGACATCTATAATTTAATATTAAATAATGAAATGTTTATGAACATAAAGCTACAATCACAACAAATCGTAACAATCATAATTATCTGTTATTTTTTACATACATCACTAGCGCTGAGACTTTTAACAAGTGAATAATAATCTCGAAGCCCATGAAAATTCTTAATGGGCTGAACTTTTTCATATTTCAAAAATGATTCAGCTAATGATTTCAACTTGGGAGTTAAACTTAAACTCCAAATTCTGCTCAAAAGATTATTCTTGCTCATTAATCTTTCAGCAGTATCGATGAGGTCTTTTTCTTCGAATTTTGGTCTAAACAAATAAAAGATATTGAGATTAAGGAAAATTTTATGTAAATGTAAATATTTAAGTGTAATATTATCAATTTCATTATAACTAACCTTTGTACTAAGAGAGCTCTACTTGACTTGGAATTATCTAATCTCCAATTACTTATTCCAATAACAGATACATTGGGAAATTCAGCTGGATAGCAGGGTTCAAGTAGAGAATGTAAGACCTTTAACGGATTATGTGGAGAAGTTTCCGCCAAGCCAACTTTAAGAAATTATGTTTAAATATTTCGAATTTGAGTCATGTTTTATTACTTGGATTCTGTTAAACATAGGATTATGTACCTTCATCAAGCAAGACGACTGTAATTAAAGGAAAATCTGGTGCATTTGTTTTTTGATAATCTTCTGCTTTTCTAAATACTTTCTCAATACCATCAGATGTAGATGATGTAGAACCTTGGTAAGGAATGACATAAACCTAATAAATCAAATAAAAATTAATATCACCAAAAATATATTTCAAATTATAAAAGGTAAAAATTATACTTGGGGCAAATCTCTAAAATAAAAATCATTAGAATCTGCTCCACGAAGATTTTGAGAAACCAAACGCATGGCTAATGATTTTGATGCGCTAATTCCCATATAAATAAAATAATTAACATAAGTAATTTATAAGCAATATTAAAAGACTTATATAATATAATACATACCCCGGTTCTCCTATTATAAAACCAGGAATTTTAGTTAATATGCACACAATAATCACAAGTACATTTTCTAACAAGGCTTCATTTTCTGCGGTCTGTGGTGGTTTAACCATTCTATTCATAAAATCTTGTTGCTCGTCACGGATAATTTTCTTAAAACGTTCGACCGTCAGTTTATCGGTTCTCTTTTTATTATAAACTGCGCAAATATTTTCACAATACTTCGTTCTTAAGTTTCGGTCATACAATCTTGTTTGATAACAAAGATACAAAGACAAAAGAAAGGAACGTGCAAAATCATCGATAGGATCATATCCATATGAATATTGCCATTTGTAACTTCTTCGTTTTTTGATACTAGTAATAAAGAAACTAACAAAATTTAGAGCCCTTTTAACATCGCGCAAACTAACACTATGTTTTCCTTCTACGTCACGAATAAATTCTTGCGAACAGAATATGAGCGCTGAAAGCAAATTGCTTCCGTGATCTTTAATTATATCTTTTAAGGATTTCTTAACCATAATATCAATATAAATTTTTTCATCCGTTGGTCTCAATACACCATAATCCCAAACATAATCTAGGATTTGATCAGGGAGAGGATGTACTTGATAAACAAGATTTTTCAGATTTTTGTTAACTTTAGAACCCAGACCAGCTTCGCTCTGGCTTTTAGTACGAATACGATATGGATTGCAGGCAGCAAATATTCGTATGTTTGGGTGTATTTGTTTTCCATCTAGAATTCGATGAGCGATAAGTTCACCGAGAAGACCGATATGATTACATGTATTAATTTCGTCAAAAAATAACCAAACTTGTCCTTTTTTAGCAAGCTTTTCTCCTTTTTCCATAAATTCCAAGATATTGACTTCACTAATTCCAGCGTGCAAATTAAGAGCTTCAAATTCAACATCTATCACGTGAGCCAAAAATTGAATCAAACTTGTCTATAAATTAATAATGAACAAATATCAATTTCCATCGTTTGAATCAAAATATAATAAATAAAAAATTTTACCTTTCCACATCCAGCCTCGCCACAAACCACTACTGGAATATTTGCACGAGCTCTTAATAAAATCAATGCCATTTTTAACAGATTTTCTACTGATAAAGCATATTTATAATATACTCGTCTATTGTTCGTTGTCCTAGCAAGACTTTCCAACTTTTTTAAGATATCTTCGGGGGACATTTTTTCATAATCCTCTAAAGAAAAATTTTTAGTGCCGGAATGTTGACTTTTTAATAAACCTTCAACATTTTCGGGAACTAACTTATTATCTCGATATAATGCACATATTGAATCTGGGGATTGTGATAAGAAAACTACCAATAAATGATTTGACTCTTCCCAAGGTTTAATGGTCCCAAGTTTAGCTTTTTCTTCTTCTGAAAGATTTTTTTTCTGTTCGACCTTAGAATCGAATGATCGTGTGGCAAATTCCTTTGATATGCCTAGTAAAGCATCTAATAAAGTACTTCTAATACCCTGTTCTGTAACCATTGATTTCAAAACTTCAACTCGGAAAAAGGTGCTGTTTGACATCCGGACCAACTGATCTGCGAGCACATCAAGAAATATTTCAAGGAATCGATATGATTCAACATCCTTAGGTTGCTCATTAAAGAAATATTTATGAATCAATTGGCGACTACGTTTTTGAGATATTAGCGTATCTATGGCTTCTGGTTCTGCTGGCTCTGCCAAAGATATATTATTCTCGTCAAGAAGATCGTTATCGTATTCATCTAAATATCTTGAAACAATTTGAATTGAACTATTAAATTGTTGAGAAACTATTAATTTATTGATATCCCACGACAAGTGTTTTTTCTTTAAATATCCTGTTATCGGGAGAGAATTGAGAAGATGTTGATTCATGGTTGAAGCTACCTCTATAAAGATCTGAGTTTGAGGAATGAAAGCAATATCAGTGCCATTTGATACTATGCCTAAACTCAACAATTCAAAAAGAAACATATTGACATCATAAGGATAATTTATTAATGCTATATTAAGATGTAGACTTTCAAATTTTTTGAGTTTTAGTTCAGACAATTTCTGAACAAGTTTACCAAACTGAACATCATCACTAATTGACAGACTTCGTGGAATTAATTTTTTCTCAAAACTATAATCTTTTATTAGTTCAGTTTTTCCTTGTCCGGATAAATCGGATGATATACAAGTTACATTAGGGGCTAATTCTTCGTAAATTACGCTCATGGATTCAGTTTCTAATCCTGTTGTGATAAAATGCACATCTTGATTAAATTGTTCAAGAATATGATGATGTTCTCCACCTTTACGACAGCATATTAAAGCTAAATGAAAATTTTTATCTTTTTGACATAATGAACGAATGCTATTCACTAACTGATATTGGAGTTCAAAATCTAGAACCTCCACGTTGGCTATACAAAATAGGTATTTATCATATCTATTTCTTTCCGCAAAGAAACATCGTTTAGTGAAAATTAAGAGATCATCTGCCGTAGTTGTTGCATTACATATAAGAAGTTGCCAAGGTTCAGGGTAGTATTCATAATTAGCATATAAGCTCATAATAATATTTGGGACTCGATATTCATCATTGCATGATGCAACAAAGAGTTGGCCTGGTTTTACTACATTAGAAGTAATCCGTTCAACTTTTGATGAAATTTTTCTTCTTTGTACTGGAGTTTTAGAGAATATATCATATAAAATGGTTCCAATCGTGCTCATTATATCGAAAAAATTAGCAACTTCAAGAGAAATATCTAATTTTAATAATTCTGGAGGAGGCAATAAAGCTTTCTCATTTACAAATCGTAAAAGTTTTCCGCATTGATTATTAACTTCTTCATCTGTTTCTTTTTCAAAGAAATAATCATAAAAATTCAAGATATGCCGGGCTGGATAAAAAGTCAAGTAATAATATTGTTCTTGTGCCTCATCTACTATTTCTTCCCATTTTTGTAAGTCTGCTGTTAAGAGCTCAAGTAAATGTGTCATCTCCTTTGTAGAAGCGGTTGTTACAAAAAATTTACGATAGGTAAAATGTCTTTCTATTAATTTCGACGCAACATTGATGATTTGGTGACAAAGATCGACTTGAATAACAAATTCATTCATGTTAGCTGCTGTAATTTCATCACTTCCATTGTCCTCATCTTCAGAGACTTTTGATGTTACAGGTGCCTTTGAAATTAAAATAGCACGTCCCCGTAAATCTTGCAAATCTGCAAAACTAAAAAAAAAAAGCCGTCAAATTAGTAACTTTTCAAAAGAAAAGTGTTAAAGTATGTAATTAATATACCTGTATTCGGCGACTTTGTTGTCGGGTGTATTGATAGAATATGATAATCTTGCTATGCATTTTTGTTCTTCATTTTCTGCGCGCATAAAATCATATTTCCCTTTGGTGACGCAATTATTTATTCGTTGTTTGGTAATTTCACCACGCCTTGAAATGTTCTATTCATTCAAATGATTTCATAGAGTCAATATTTATTATTTATTTTTCGCATAAAGTATAAATGAAATGGATGAACTTCTAACTTACTTCATACATATTTTTCAGAGCTTGGTAATTTGCATTACAGAGATTAATTTTGACAGATAAGGAGGGATTTGGCTTGACAACTTCTATGAATTTGGGCCAGAACAATTCAAAGGCATGACTGAAAAATTCCTTCGTATTTTTATCAAACAAAGGTTCCAAAATTGATTTAACTTGAATACAAGCAGATACTGTATCCGCTTGCATCAATCTTTCATCCGAATGGTCATCAACGCCTATAATAAATAAATAAAATATAAATAAATTGATAAGATGTAAATAAAGGCTTGCAAGCATTAAATCAATAAATGTCTCATACCATTAATCAAATTTTTAAGGTCATCTCTTACAGTTTTAAGGAAATCAATAAATCCTGGGGCAAAAGAAATTTCCTTAATAACCTCACAAACTTCTTTAGTTAATTCATATTTTTTAACACATTTATTTAAATCCTTGGATACTTTATTTAAGTTATCAAGAGTCAAATCCTCATTCTTCAAGTCTTGTAAAATTCTATTCGACCAGAATTTTGGATCAAGTTGAAATTTCCAAGTCTCTTTTAGCATCGTGTTTAGCTGTTCTAATCGGGAAATATGTACATCTACTTGAACCAGGTTTTGAATCGTAACAACTAAGTTTTTAGCTTCTTCTCGCTTTCGTCTTTCAGTTATATCTTTGAATCTATCACAATGAGGAAGCAAAAAGTAAACTTCTGCTTCGACTTTTTTTACATCAACCTTATTCCATAAAGGCTTGGCCTCCAAATATTTGATCTTTTCCCAATTCTTATATTCTTGGCACACCTCTGTATAGGCCTCAATTGCAATCTTAACAATTTCTTTTATAATTGTATAGACATCCAACTCGCGATTTTCCAAAGTAGCTTCAAATATATTATAGAAAGTATGTGATTCGGACAAATGAAAAAATGAATCTATAGCAATAATAGCATCCATATGAATTGTCCAATGTTCCGGAGAATTTAGTTCTTCAATCGTGTAACTGTTCATTAAGGCACCTCGTCTTTGTAAATCGAGAATATATTTCTGCGAATCAGTAATTTTTTGAAAAGAACAAAATCTGTTATAAAATTTTTCAAGCCGAAGATAAGTTGTTGTATAGTGAATGCATTGTTGAGAAAGATTATCTATTATCTCATGCGTAATTTGGAGTTCTGCTTTGTCTTTTACTGAAGAATTGACGAATTCGATAAGAATATTATAATCTTGCGAAACGTATTTTATAATTTCCTGCATCAATCCTAGAGTAATTTTATTACTTGTGATTGATATTGCTAAAGTGCTAACGATTTCTCTTGATTCATCAACATATGGATGTGAATAAATCCTTTGAGTGTTTCCCGTCGCAAGAAAAATAGTCTTCCAGAAGTTTGAGACTTGCAGTAAGGAAAGTTGAAGATTATCAAGATTATCTTCATCATTTATATAAAGTTTTCTTTTTGCTTTTGTCTGCAACTGATCGAATATGTGACAAAGGATTTCTTCACATAACCTAAATTTATAATGTCATTATTATTATATATTAAATTTGAATAATGTACGATCAAAAAAGAAAATGAATAATACCAACCTATTTTTAATATGAAGTATAGTTTTAGAATCACAAATTTGCATTATTTTCTGTAAAAGTTGCTCATCCGCTTCACGTAAATTTTGATCAAGCCTTTCCTTTATCCATGTAAAATAGATATCAACAACGTCAGGATCGAATTCACCGACATAAGGAGCTATTTTGAAAATCAAGTCTTCAGACAAAGGTGTCAAAATACCATTCACAATCCTTTTTAATTCGGCACAAGTAGATGCACGATTTTTTACTATGGGATATATGAGAGAAAGATTTTGGAATGTGGTGTGTGCAATATTCTTTATTTGTTTTTTCCGGGGGGCCTTGATAATATTTCGAAGCCAATTTTCAGATGTAGAATAGAGCTCCTTTGACACGCTTCGATGAATATCTTTATCCAAGGCCAACTTCAGGATTTCGGGAAATGATTGTAATAATAATATTTGGTCGGATCTTACAATTCCTTCGATTACATTTAAAAGCATGCCTTCTGGCCAATCGGGATGCGGTTCTTTAATAAATTTGATTAAAGATTCAAGATCTCGTTCTTTCCATGAGATATCCTTGAGTTGTAATAATTTTAAAAGTCTATCGAGGAATAAACCTATAGTGGAAAATTTAAGATTTTGGGGAATGTTCTGAAAATGCATATACAAATCATACGGGCTATATTGTCTAATTATTTCGCTAATTCTTTTCTTAAAATATCTTTGTAAAATACTACTATTTTGAAATCTCTCAAAGCCTATGATATCTTTTGAAATAAAAATAAGGCTCTCTAAATCGAAAGACAAATCAAGTAATTTCTAGGATTCAAAAAAAAAAAAAAAAAAGTTTTAATAAAAATATTGAAGTTTCTTTCCGTATAGAATATTAAGTATATAATAACAAATTACCTGCGTGACACGACGAAATATGTCTGCCTTTAAATGTAGATTCAAAATGTGGGGTTTAACATTCTCTAATAAGGACTGAAAAAAGTTGTGATGATTCTTAGAGTAATCAAAATTAACGATATTTTCCAAAAAAGAATAATCTTCATCAAGTTTTGGTGCAAGTTCAAACATTTTCAACCATGCCAAAGAACCACAAGATGAACTATGTTGAATGATAGCTCTTAGAGAAAGCATGATGTATTGCTTAGTTCCGGTAACAGGATCGAGATAATTAAGCACATTAAGCAAAGTGTCAGAAGGAAAACTTGCAGGTAAGTAGTTCATATTTTCAAATAAATGTTTATTTGGACGTTCCATGTAATACCCAAGAAGTATGAACAAGGCACAATTTTTTGCAATCGAGTCGGATTCCAATAATTTATTACGTATAAAATCAAGGTTTGTTACGAAGTTTACATAATCTCGATGTTCAAGACTGACTGTTTGAAATTCCATTATTTTTTCTTTAAAATTTTGTTCGTTAATGGAATCGTAAATACAGTTGATGAAACGAAAATCTCTTTTGAGTCTATCCGAGTTAATTCTGAACTTATTATCCCTACTCTGCCAAATGTCATAATGGTTCTTTCGAATCACCATTTGACGATTTGTACTGGAGCCTGAACCTTCAAAAGTTTCGAATGAATATGAAATTTTTTTTGATAAAAATCCATAACCTTTACGAAATACAGCGTACTTGTATGACACTTCGGCATTTAAGGGAAATTCAACAGGGTCTGATATCCAAAGAGTCGAATCAGGTTGGTTTTTAAGAACCACTTTGGGTTGCGCCTTGTCCCATTTGCCTAAAGATTCACAGTTTCCTGTCACTACAGGAATATAATTGTCTGGTGTAATTTCATGTGGCAAGTGAACGTAGAAAACGGAAGTGAGATTTAAATTTCCAAAAGTATTCATTTCAGGGAGAGATCTGTCTCTGTCTTTGCCTTTGCCATTGTCTTTGCTTTTGTCTTGAGACGAACTATTTTTATCATTACTAGGTTTGTTGTCTTGAGACGAATTATTTTTATCATTATTATCCTCGCCCCAACGAATAGTACCCTCATTCGTCATTTATTAAAGTTTATTAGTTATATGGAGTTTCGATTTAATGAAGAGTAAAAAAGAAGGGATTACAAATTGATTTTTAACCTTGTAATTGTTTACAAATTTGGTTAAATTTGTTCTGTTTTAATCGGAAATTTGCCAATTTTTAATCCGAGAACGGAGTTTACATCATTATCTAATTTTATTTTATTTTTTTTGAACCGTGGCCTGGCCTTTTATTACTTGTAAATTAAAATTCCGCAATCGATTTTTTCTATATTAAGGGTTCTTATATTCTCTCTATTATGAATAATTATTGAAGATAATACTAATTTACTAATTTATTAAGTTCTATTTTAAAGTTAAACATGTTTCAATAATTTTAACAAACTAAGTTAACTGAATTCGTATACGTGACATACATATAAAGAGTTTAAGATTTTTATATAATATTCCGAACTAGATATTTTTGGATACAGCCGCCGCCATGTAATTAAGCATATGATTGGATCTAATGTTCAAATACAGTTAAACATGATGCAAATACATATTGTTAGATTAAAAATATTTGGTATGTAATGTCACTTTTTTTTTTTGATCAAATAAAATTATCTTTCAATTATTTTTACAATAATTATCATTATCTATTAATTAAATTAAAAAAATTTTGTTATTAAAAAGAAGAAATAAATTGAATAAAGCATAAAACTAAAGTTAAATGACAAATTTGACCGAGTAAACACACTTTACCATCCATCTTTCTCGCATGAGAATATTTAAATTGAAAAATTATAAAAGTTCGTTTTTTAAAGAAAATAATATAATTATAAATTAGATGTTAAATTATATAAATTCAGAAAATTGTCTTATTAAATAATCTTTTTTTTTGATTCTTTTTAAAAATAATTATCATTTCATTTAAGAATATAAATAAATTTGACCACTTGTAGGTTTTAGTTTCTTTATTAATTAAAGTCAAGATAGAATTAGGTTATATATTGCAAAATTTTCAATCTACAATATTTATCAATTTTTCTTAGTCATATTCATCATTTGATTTTTGAGGATAAATGCTGTAATGTGAATGAATATATTTATATTTTGGTGTTTTGAAGAAGAAATGCCAATAGCATTCACCTTTTGTAAATGTTTTGTTGTATTAATCAATATAAAAAATTGTGCTTAAATTATAAAGCATTCTTTTTTAAAAAAAAACTTTCGAAGAAAATTGAAAAGATCAATTTATTTAAATAAAATTTATTTAATAATCCTCCTCATCTCATTTTTTTTTGTTTATTTTGGGCTCAAGATTTAAATGGTGTAATTTTATTTTGTTTTAGAGATATTTATACTAATAATGTTTCTCTATCTCATGATTCTGATGATTTTTGAAAAAAGGAAATATATATATATATATATATATTCAACCTCCATTCATTGAGGTAAAAATTTTTTCCTCCTATTTCTACCTCTAGGAAACGGGAACCTTTGTGTGTTCGGAGCAAACTAGAATGACTGTTACTACGGTTTATTTTTATTTTTATTTTTTTATTTTTTGATTATCTGGATTAAAATTATAATTTAGGATTAGGATAAATATTATATTAGGGATTTTTTTTTTTTGAAAAGGAAATTGTTTATATGCATATTAATTGGAAAGGAAACAACTAAAACCCAGTAATTAATTCATAAGATATAATTCCAAAAGAATATACATCAACAGCCTTTGTATATTCTTCTCCACATAAAACTTCTTGAGCAATATATGGTAATACACCAAAGATATTTCTATTATTGGAATTTTCTAAATTTTCTAAATTTTGTCCAACTATTTTACTTAATCCAAAATCTGAAATATATCTAATGTGTGTAATCCTCTAAAACTATGTGATAAATTACGAAAATAAAATAATTTATCATTCCAAATAATCTCTAAGATTTCCACCAGAAAAATAGTTTAAAACCATCATATATTTGTCAGCTTCTGGATCTTTAGTAATTTCATAAACGTGGATTGAATAATCAATTACTTTCAAGTTAATGGCCATCTAATAATGCATTTTTATAAAAAAAAAAAAAAATTTTACCTCATTTCTCATTTAAGAAATTTTCATTTAAATTTAAACTTTTTTAACGCCACACCAAATTAACCGTATCTTTTCCATTATAGACTTCTAATATCCCATTCCTCAATATTTCCATCAATCCACTCAGCATAATATATCGTCCAAAATCACCTTTAGCAATCTCTTTAATATCTTTAAATCTATCATAAGATATCCATTCTGTTATTTTCTACCAACTATTTGCATTTAGTTGAGAATCCTGAATAAGTTTATCGATTATTTTGTTGTCAGTTTGTCCATTTATCAAAATCATTTTTGAAATGCTTCGAGTTGCACAGAAGACACCAACTCCGTTTAATACTTTCTTGATTGCAATTTTTACATAAATTCATTTTATTTCTTAATTTTGATGAGTGAGGTGATTAAAAAAGGGAAATAAAATTGGAATTACCGAGTATCATTTTGACATTTTGATGTTATAATATGTATATTATACGCGTTGCCTATTTAAATTTAAGTTAATGTGGGATATCACAAATTTAATGGACATTCTACGTCAAAATAAAAAGATCATTACTAAAGTTAGTGAAGTATTGCCTTTTTTTGAAGAATTGTTTTAAGGTTTGTTTCATTGGTGGCCGCTCAATCAATATTTAAAAATGGCGAAAGTCCTATTATCTTACAATAAAGATTTTCCTAACCACAATAAAACCTTAATAATATTAATAAAAATATATTTATATTGTTTATAAATTATTAAAGTTTATTTGGAATAACTTGATCTAACTTGATCTAATTTGATATAATTAATTTAAATATTGACAGGCCTATATCACAACAGACATTTCCTTTACCAGTTAGTATATATTATATAATCGATAATTATTTTTAATTTGGCGTTTTGTTTCTCACCTTTATGTATATTATTATAAATTAATAATAAAAATGTTATCCCTTAAACGGTAAATCATGTGAATTGCCCACATTTATTATTAACTTGTGACGTCACTACCGTTTAAGGTATAATCTCTCGTGTATCAAATTTTTATCTTCTGATATGCTTGTCACGTATATATATTATTTAGCTTGTTTGATAAAGCATTATAATAAAGTCTGGGTTGTTGATATAGTTGTTTTATTCTATTTTTTGTTATTTTTTGTTTAATTTAGTACTTAAGAAACTTTAATTAATAGACAAAGGTGTATTGAATATATACTTTATTAACTTCACTTAGGAACGATTATAAATCAGTTCAAGAATTTTTGAAATCAAAACAAAAAATAAGTTTCGTGATTTATAAAATTCAAAGAAAAAAAAGTTCAAATTACTGGTTCCTCGTAATTATTAGCCCAAATTCTTTTAAAAATTTCAAATCAACAGAAATTTTTCAGCTTGAATAAATTATTCTCGATTTTCCCTTCCCCAACACCATTTTACAAATTTGTTCTTTACTTCTTTAATTTCTTTTTATCTATTTAAACCAAAATTTCTTTATTAAATCACTAAACAGCTCGGGGTTATCATTAGTAATTTTTGGTCTTTTAATCTATATTGTGTCAAGGAAAGTCCTAAATTTGAGATTTTATTTGCGATAATACGATATTTGGTGAAATTCTTTTGAGAATAAGATCTATAATTATGTATGAAAATAAAATAAAATTGAATTCATCAAGTTTGAATTTGTTATGATTGCATTTGATATCTTATGTATGTGTGATAATCTAGTAAGTTTGTCTTAAAACTGAAAGCGTATATTATGAAGTTTTTAGAATTATAAAGAAGTTTAATAATAAATTCTCAAATGAATCAATTTTGCTTTGGTTATAAAAAATATTTTATTCTTCTAAACTAAAAATTAAGATTTTATTGAGATTTGAACTAACATTTCGTTGCTTAAATTCGCAAATAAATGCGAGAACTGAGCTAAATGTACAAATATCATTTTAATGCATCTGATTATTTATTTAATTATTATTCTAAAATTATTAGATAACGTAAATTCGCTTTAAAACTATTATCAGAAATAAATTGCATTGTGTCATTTTTCTAGTGAGATAAAATTATTTTTTAACAAATTTAAAATGAAAGTTAAACTCAAATATATAATTACTTTACAATGAAAGAAATATTTAATTAATATTTTGGTTTTTTTAAACTATTACCCTATGTTAATGTTTATATCTAATAATTTATTGACCATTTCCTTTGCTTTATTTGACCAGTTGATAGCATTTAAATTATATTCCTTAGTCCCAATTCCTTCATAAAAGCACTTTCTAAGCATAAATTAGTTATAATTGTAATCACTTTCTGCAACTTTTTTTTATATCATTCAAATTCCTTCACTTTGGTCAATATTAATTTCATAATAAAGTCCTACCTAATGTTGTACTAAAGGATAGTGTTGGAATCCTATTTCAAAATACAATCCAGATTAGATCCAGATTTTCTCGATCAAATCTGAATTATAAATCCTTATCCTTAAATATTTTGGATCCATCCTTATTTTAAGGATCCATCCTTATTTTAAAGATCCATCCTTATTTTAAGGATCTATCCTTATTTTAAGGATCCATCCTTATTTTAAGGATCCATCTTTATTTTTAGGATCCATCCTTATTTTTAAGATCCATCTTTATTTTTAAAATCTATTCTTAATTTAGATTTATTTTTATAATATTTTGAAATTATATAAAATTAAAATGAATAAAAGAAATTATTTTCAAAACTTTATTTAATAAAATGCAAAATTACAATTTATTTTATAATTTTTTATTATTAATAATCTTTTTGCATTTCTTCAATTTCATCCTATTCTTTTGCAAAACTTCTATTAAATTAAGATTTCTTTTTAAAAAAAGCATTTTACCAGCTAAGTCTGTATCTAATCAAATTCTTTTTGTTATAATTATATTATTAGCATGTGAGAATAATCTTTCACATGAAACAGAAGTTGCTGATATTCCAAGATATTTACAAGCAATTTTAGATAATTTGGGAAAATTTGTATATTTACTTGTCACTACTCTAATGGATTTACATTTTCTAATACAGCTGGTTTTGCTAAATAACTATCTACTTCATCAATATTAATATTTGTATTTGATTGATTTAAATTTTTATTTTTTATTAGATGATATTGATGATATTCCTTATGTAAACATAATAAAAATTCTGTATTATTTGTTAAAGGTATAGTTGAACTAGATGATTCTACAGGTGATAAATTATTTAAATCAAGTTTATTATGAAGTTTTTGAATTATTCTCATTTTTTCATCTTCAGATTCTACAAAATCCAATGTTTTAAAACATGGATCTAATAGAGAAGCCATTAATTTTATATCATTAGAAAAATTCCAATAATAAATTAATGCAAAATAGATATTATTTTTAACTTTTTTCAAAATTCCTGTTGTATCTAATGGATTTTTAATAGAAACTTTTCTTTTTGATATATTACTAATAATTTCATCTTCAATTTCAATTAATAATTCATTAGTAAAAGGTTTTGTTTCAAATATAGTATTTTCATCAAAATAATTAATATTATTTAATGGAGATTCACAAGTCAAATCAAAAATTAATTTTTTAATAATTGATATTATAGTACTTAATGTTACATAAGTTCCTCCTGAAAAATTTCGTGTTGTATTTTCAAATGGCATTAAAGATCAATTAATTTGTTCAATAGTTTCTATTCTTCTTCAGATAACATAATTTTTCTTAATTTATTTCCATTATTTTTGTCTTTTCTATTTATACTTATAAGTAAATCAACTTGAAGTGAATAATTACATCTTTAAGATAAAAGAGATGATCCCAAGTATAATAAAAGAATTTCAACGTGTTGAAACATCTTGAATACATTGTAATATATCTTTATAATTTAATTTAGATTGTACATCTTCTAATCTTTCTATTTGTTTTTGGTTGAAAAAAAATTAATTATTCATTTTACACGTGCTATAAGAATTTCTACAGGTGCTAATCCTTTACCAATTGTCAATTGAAGTGTGTAAGCTGCATATGGAATTCATAAAATATTCACACCTTTTTGAATTAATATAGGAAATGCTGATTTTATATTTGTACCATTATTTGAAACAATTGCTATTACATGTCTTTTAAAATTCCAACTTGTAATATATTGATAAAGTAATTCAGCAATAATTTTAGCTGTGTGAGGAGAAGGTGCATATTTTATTTCTAGCATTACATCTTTAATTTTAAAATCTGATGTAATCCATATTGCATCAACACCTAAATATCCATATTTAACTCTATTAGACTAAAAATTTATAGTTAATGATACTGTCATAACTGTTTTATTTAATAAATTTATTAAGTTTTCACAGTTGTAATTGTAACTCTTCAATATCATTATTTTGATTTTTTGTTTTTCAGGTATATTAAATGAAGGATTAAAATGTAAAATCGTTTCTTTATATATTGGATTTGTAACCATTGTTAACCTTAATTTACTTTTTAAACAAACCAAAGAAAACTAAGTAACTAGTAGTGGGAATTATATTTATAGACTTTAAACACTATAATAATTAACTACAGTCGAATGGGTATTACTGCTAATAAAGTAATAATAAGAAGAATTTGGATAATGCGAATTTAGTTAAAAGAAGCTAAGGGTGTTATTGACCCTAGTTGTCACACTGGTCGAAATAGGGAATATCGAATATCTATCGTATGTCTATTGGGAGCCTGATAGGTATACGATAGGTATCCGATATTAACAATTATATAATATATCAGGCACCTGATTAGTGGGGTCGAAATGCAAAAGTTCAGATACTTATCGAGTCCATATTGGTTTCATATTGATATTAATATTTTGACATTTTATTCAAATTCATCATTCATATATCGGGCACCCGATTTTATTTATTTTTTTTATCAGATACATATCTTTTATAAATCGGCCATAGTATATTCCTATATATTGAACATGATATATCTCTATGTATCAGGTAGTTTTTTTTTCTCTATCAGGTATTTATCAGTACCTTTTATTTATATATATATATATATTTTTACTTTTTTTTTATTTACAAATAATCATAATTTTAGTTTATTATAAAAAAAGATAATAAAATGGAATACATTTATTATGAAAAGTATAAAATGAAATATATTATATATGCTATATAAAATAATCTATCTAATTATTTTTTT